GAGGTCATGATAATACGAGTGTTGCGCGAGGGGCGGGCATCCGACGCGATCCAGCTAATATATGCATGGCAATGCTGCCGCTGACGATAAGCGCGAATGCACTTCCCGTGCGAGCGAGTAGGCCCTCACGGCCGATATAGATGCAGGTCAACTGACGATGCCTCGTTCCTGTGAACGAGAAGCTCGATAACTGGATGAGTTGGGGCTTCGGTAGGGAGACCACGTGTGACTCACCCATTACGTATCCGGAGCCGCGGTGTATATGGGCGTTACATTCGTCGGATGATAGAAAAGAATATACTTGGGCTAGTCTGGCTGACATCAACTAACTTCAGAGTCAGTAGCTTAGGCCAGTCCACGAGGTCTCGAAATCATGGGGAGACACAGACTTCCTTGTGCGTGGTACGATCGATCGCCCGGGGATTGACGACGATGCAATGAGCCTACCAGATTTCAGAACTCGACTAGCAAGCGTTATCGTTGCCATTTGCCTTGTAGTGCTCAGCTGGGTTGCGGAAGACACATGTTGAGTGATGTGGGTACGGCGGTCAGCAGTCATGATCAGCACATGAGCATTTGTGTCCGACTCACTATACACTGATGGCGTGGAACAACAACCAATGAGTTCGGAGACGGCATCAACTGTTGGGCGTATAGTTTATCTGCAGCAATGCGGCGAGAACGTCCTGGGAGAATAGACGGTGAACGGTGGAATGTGGGGGTCACAAGTACGGAGACGAGGGAGAGGACGAGAAGGATCCGAGGTGAGTGCACACGATGTGGACTTTTGCCGCATTTGTGCCACCAGCACAACACCAGCGATGGTCTACGTCTCGCTGCACATGATATACATCATGACCTCCCCGCGCGGCAGCGCGTCGATGTATGTTGGCAGACAGCATCGTGCGTCGAGATCTTCTAGGGGTCGCTGCTCATGTTGGCCAGAAGTTTGCCACCATCAAAATGGTGACCGTGAGTTGTGGACAAGAACGCACGCAGCTCGTCCACTGCAAATGCCCGACTGTACCGCGAGTCATCTGCAAGCTTCTTTAGACCAAGGGTGAGACAGCGTACGTTGACGTCATCGATAATGTCCACGAAGAATCGTGGGTGCCGAAGGGTTTGTAGGGGTGTATAGAAGAAGTGCAACAAGGATGGGCCAGTAGTTCTGTAGAGCTGACGGCGTTGACTGGCCACTGCAGACACGTACTAAAGCATAGTAGAACTGAAGCATAGCCCGTCCAGGTTGTTCTCCAGCGTATAGGGTCAATGCGTAAGCGGCGAAGCCGTGGTTGTCGGGTAGGTCACTAAAGACTTGGTCAAATTTTTGACGAGCATAAGCGAGTGACGGTGAAGCTGTACAATTGCGAACCAAATGAGGATCCGGAAATCGCAGTACAAATCACCGCCGCTCCAGGACCCCAGGTAATATCATCCTTCCAGAAATCTTGACCGGAAAACGACTGGGAGGTCTTGCAAGGGTGGCCATAATACAGGAAAGATGGCAAGTCCGAGCTCGCCGTCTGCAGCGGATATGGGCTCGATGAATTGGTCGTCGTCGAGTTGGGAGACCAGGTCACGATTGCACGCGTATTGCCTGGTGCCACGTGGACGGCGGGTCGTTAAGCGCGCGCCACTCCGCCCGCTCGCAACTTCAACTCAGTCCACCATAATCTGCAGTGCTCGTATGAAGCCATGGATAACAACGGTACCTAGATCCGGCTTAGCTAGCAGGACGTAAATGCTGAAACCAGTATAGTGGCAGTAAGTACAAACCTGTCTTACTTCGAATACGCCTCACCTCTGAAGCCCTTGATAGTGCCGTCACGACTCACGGTGTTAGCGTACTGAAATAGTACCTAAAGAAGTGTCCTTTTGCAGTAGGAAACGCGTGGATATTGATCCCCGAGTCGAGCCCATAGACTACGCAAGCACGGACGCACACCAACAGAGACCTCACTCACGGCAGCTGATTGCCGAGTCTCGCGGGCATGAGGGCATACATGATGTTGCCCCCACTTCCAGCATGTGGGATTCCACGTATATGCGCATAGACGATCCTGAGGCGGGATCTGCGTCCTGTGTATCTCGTTGGATTTATGGTGAGTGGTATGGGTCATTGAATATGACTCCAATTGACGTCTCAGTCCGCAGTGGTCGTCACATCATTGCTGTTCGCGATCTTGCCCTCTCGCCCGCGGATAACTGAGTTGCGATTCAGCGCGGCTGTGCTTCTGTATCACACGAGTCATTGCTGTGGTGTCGGGCCGTCGACATCAGTGTTTCGCTTGGCGACATCGCAATGTCAGATAGGTTTTGCTGTACTGGCGGAGGTCAACCTTCCAATCCCCAATGATGTCTCACATGAGCGGGCGCGCAGCGCACTGCATCGGTGATTCAGGGCGCGTATCGCGGGTGCGAGTGCATTCCAAGTGCATTCGCTCGCGCCCTCGTGAAAGTAGCCTTGGCTATTTGTGCGCCGTGGGCATAGCATGTGTCGTTAAGCTCCAATCCGACGCGCCACCGGAAGTACATCGTGGCGTGGCTACAGGGCTATGATTCACAAGATGAACTTCGTTGTCGGAGATAAGTACCATAGTCGTTCAATTTGCTCGCGCCGCCGAAGTTCTCACATCATAGACCAGAAATCCCGATGGGTCGGTGCAGTGACGTTGTGCGCTCCGCGGCAGTACTTACATATACTATCTGGTGCTGCTAGCAGACCGGACGTCTCCGTCGGGCACCTTTCCCTTGTTCCTGCGATCCGCTGTCTACCTGTCGTAGGCCGAACCCTCGATTATGTTGTTCAATTCGCAGGAGACGTCGATCGACCCCGACTACGCACGGCAAATGCTGGGGAGCTGGTTTATTGCCAGCTTGTTATCTACCATGTGGGCGATTCTTCTAATGTGTATACGCGTGTCTTGTTGATGAATATATGCACCATACCCTCTCAGGTTATATGCTGCTACATGCGGTCAGGTCGCATATTATTGCTGCCATTACTTACCGCGCGACAATCTCACTGTGAAGAGCCTGGTGCGTGTGTCCATGCTAGCGGGTGCTGTCCAAGGTTATGTTGAGCTGCTCTTTTTTGTTCAGGTACTCCTCATATGGTCAGGCCCAAATCGAACCACTCATGGTCACGGGGACGTCGCTCACTCGCCATCATTCAGGATACTTGACACGCTCACCACAATTTCAGACGTCTATGTGAGTTCTCTTTGTTTCCTGTCGAGATGGATGGTATGTTCATTCTCACGATAGAACGTATGGTCACTCGCGATCCTTGGTCACGGTACCGCCTTTGCCTCGCTCATGTTTCCAAAGTACGTACCAATAGTGTGCTCCGTTTATATGGCTAATGTGTCCCAATTTGAGGCTCTATAATGTGACGTGTGATCATGTTCTGAAGCTTGCGTACTCGGGCTAATCCATCCTCGCCCTCTTCCAATCTCAACAGCCGGATTATGCTTTGATTGTGAGGTTTTCCCAACAGGGGATTGGAAAACAGCTCGTTGATGCTATATTAGAGCATAATAACCTTTGCTGTACAGATGTACGTCTGCGGTTGACGTTTACTTATGATCGCGCCTCACAAAGGCCTGGCATGACCCAGCTTCTACGTCCACGCTATATGGGCTGGTATGTCAGTCGTGTACATTATTGCCTTCGTAGCCTAAGGTCTTTGCCTGTTGCCAGTCATCGGTCCCGCCCGATCCCGGTGGATCAGAGTGGCAATGACGGCAGTTCCGGTATGGGTCCTTGCCCTGCGCCGCACGTGCCTGTTGTTTTACTTATGCATTCTCAGACGATCCTGTCATCAACAGCCCTTGGTGAGTGATTAAATATGCGTGGGCACCGTGACATGCTCACAGTCGTCCACTCTACCAGCGTTCGGGTTTGGTATGACGACATTGCACTACAATGACATTGTACTGACTACCCATATGCACGGGCTGTGCTCAACACAGCGGGTGTCTCTTCATCGTCGAGGTAAGTATTCCTTCAGGATGTTGCTGTCGACCAGCCTGACGCCGCACTAGGCATATGAAAATCCTGTTCAATGAAGTTACCCCACTTGGTATACTGGTGAGACGTCTTGAGGGTCTTACACCCGATATCACTCGCTGAGCAGTGCAGATTACGGTGCCGGCGTGTGCATGCAGTGCAGCAGCAGCCGATGTGTTCATTTGCATCGCTCTGTCGTGGATACTCTACGACAGGAAGACTGGGTTCAAGCAGTGAGTTGCGTGCATCATGATCAGAAATTTGGACTCTCACGCAAGGCCCTTCGTCAAAGAACCGATAACTTGATCCGCACAATCACAGTGTACTTGATCAATCGCAGCATTCTCACAACGTGAGCTCTCCTCGTCGCCATCGTGTATGTACACTCTAAGAATCTGACACCATCAAAGCGCGTTACAAATCACCGTAGTATGCATGGTACGTACTTCATTGATTCCCGTTCGATGTAGAACCTTCGGCCTCATACTCTCGGGACAGTTCTTTGGTTTGAAGCAACGCAGCCATCAAGTGGACATGACATGGATAGCTGTCCGTTGTGCCGAAGGAAAAGGTGTGTCCGGCGGCTGATGACATGCATCTTCGCGTCGTCACTAATGTTTCTCTGAAACAGTCCATGTTAACTCAATGTTGGCAGTGTGAGTGTAATTCACGCGCCACATATTCTGCTGAACAGCACGACGTATGGGACTGACTTGTATCCTTTCCATGCAGGTTAAATGGGCGACATCACATGAGGGAGAAACTCATGATGCCTCAGTCTGGGCTGCAGATCACGACCGGTCCGTTCCATGTATGAAGTGGCGTACTATTTGGAAGCTATAGAGGCCTTACCGTATGGTTCTGTACTATCGAAGACGTTGTTTTCGGTCCAACTCGTGGCAGTTTTCTTGCCATCTTGAAACGATTGGTAAGAAAGGTTCGGTTGAGGCTACACTCATGGTATTTTGTATTACAGTACGGCTCAAGGATCCCTGGTAGTATATCGGTGAGTACACGCGCCTGTCATTCGCCTCGGTCGCGCGAAAGCGGGGTTCGACTCCCCGCCAGGGAGTTTCAGTCTCTTATGCCCCGTTTTTATTTTGTATCCACCCTGCAGTCTTTACCGCCATATTTCCAAGGGCCACAGCAGCTTCAGAAGCCTCAGCTCGTTTCAGTCAGTCAATAATTGCTACTCTCTGGCCTCTGAATCACACGGTTGCCACAAGATCGTAGTTGCTGGTAGCTTATTGCAGCTCCCACACACTCCCAGCCTCTTCGTGCAGTCGCTGTGATGAAGGGTCAGTGCAGATTGTGATTCCGAGGGGTCCGACTCGCCTCCGGATCGATCCTGAAGCCGACGAGGGCCTCAAGCACCGCACGACCGCTCCACGCCTCTATCTCCGCGACCTTCTCCGGGGTGATGAAGTCCTGCGACGTGCGCGACGCGAACACCATCTGCGCCGCAGCCGCCCGGATGCGGGGCTCCGGGCGGAGAGGCTCGCCTGCCGCACTGGCTGTCGACACGCTAGGTGGCTGAGCCTGCGCCGACGGCGACGGTGTGACGGTCATGGAGGGAGCTACCGGGAGGGCGGTTACCGGTGGCGCGACCGTCCCCTTCGTGCGTGCGGGACCTGGCCAGTTCGCAGCTAGGTGCAGGATGTGGAACGTCTCCATCTGCGGGGTCGTCAGTGGGTAGCGGGCGTGGGGACGGGACTGGCATCACCTCCAAGGTCCCGACGTCGGCATGGCGCGCCTTGATATCTTCAATGAGAGTCTCGTTGTGATCCGGGAACGAGGTCTGACGTCCTTGAGACGAGTAGAAGCTGCAGGGACATAAGTGGCGCGACGCGGATGGTTTTGAGGAGGTTCACCTGTCGGCAGATGCATTGAGGGTGTTGTCAACAACACCTGTGTGGAGCGTAGTTGGCTTCGTGCGTTGGAGCGTGGCGCTCAGCTGTGCGTGAAAAGCTTAGCAGGTCGCGCGGGGCGGAGGGCGTTCGACGAACCAAACGATGCAACTCGGGGTCTGCATTGACCTGAGCAAGAAGTCATAAGGATGTAAGTTGGTTATGATTATCTACGTAATCTCCGGTCTTTCGACATGAAGTGTCGGCCATGGCTCACCGGCTTGCTAATTCTGTACGGAGGGTCGTGGTGTCCGCTGGTAATGAAACTGTAGTCGTAGTTCCTAGTGATGGCGATACTAGCCTTGGGCACGACGACGGTGCCAACGGGCACATCGATGAGCCCGCCACAGGACCCAAGCCTTCCGTCCGATCAGACATGCGTCGGAGGTGCCTAGTAGACGATCGCGAAGACACGAACCTAATTACGACCATATCGCCCGCAAGGCATTCTCTGACTTCGCGCACGAAGAAGTCAGCGTTAGGGTAGCCCATGCCAATGCTGATTATGGACACAGGCACGCCCTTGAAACGGCCGGTTATAGTCGTAAAGCCGCGCTCGGAGCTGAGTGTGAACGGCCGCGGAGAGGCATCGAGGGCGGACGCGATGCCCTTCGCGCGTGAGGGTGACCCCACTGTGACCTGAATGCCTCGGAGTGAGCGGCGTCATCTATTTGAGATGCTTTACCCCATACATACGATACGGTTAGCGACTTCGCCCGAGCGGATGCCGAGATGATAAACACGCTGATCGAGCGTGCGGGGAAAGTCTACAGCGAACAGGACCAATAGATCAGACGATGCCGCGAACGTATGGGCTAGCCTGTATGCAGAAAGCGGGGTGTGGGGTCTGCTTACTAGCGTCGAGAATGAGATCCTTCATCACGGAGTGTTGTACTTGGTGTGAAGATGATTGCCGGCGTTTAGCTTTCTGTATTGCCTCTAGTATTTTCGACCTTGTGGCAATGGGAAGTCTAAATGTCGATCAGGAAGGAAGGAGACCGGTTCCGTGAGCGGTGTCGTATTCAATTGTCGATGTCGATAAGTAGTTGATAGTTGGACTGAATGGCTCAATTGATTGTTGGCGCGCAGCCCTCGATCCGGCAGTAACCGGATGCAGTGATCTGCGCCACCCCGAATGCCTCGGAGGAGGACGACAGCCATCTCGCTGGCGGCGCCCTGCGACGACGGACCTCTCGCGGACCTCTCTCTGATTTCTCTCATCTGGCCACGTCGGAGCTGTCTCTCTTGCGGCACGCTTGGGTCGAGTAACATGTCAACATGACAAGCGACCAGTCACGGCTACTCGCTCCGTGTAGGAACCGAGGCAAGGCGGCGGCATGGGCGGATGGGCCGGCGGACACCAGGTATCTGTTCTATTCAAAGTACAGCTATCATATCGCCGATTGACCGTATCTGCACGGATATTCTTTCTGAGGCGGCTATGCAAAGAGCGTCAATAGCCCCCAGAAGACGCCCTCGCTACTGATGACCTGCCTCGTAACGACTCGTATCGTCACCGTGCTGCGCGAGCTGCTGTGATTTCTCATCGGTACATACGCCTCCGACGTTTCAGCCTGCGGCGGCAAGAGAACACAGAAGCATAGGTCGGGCGAGGGGGCGGGCGCTCCCCATGTGCAAATACGAGGACTTGCGACGAGCACGCATACATGCTGCGGGAGACACGGGGCACCCTTGCAATTCCTGGCTTCGTTTCTTGCCCATGGGGTGTGGTGGATGACCTCCCGCGGGGACGCGCGGACGACCGAAAGCGGTCCGACAATCCAAAGCTGGGGACGACATATCTCGATCCGGGGTTCACCGCTCTTCATGAGAGTGTCCGTGCGTCTTGTCATCTCCGACGCGCGCAACGGAACGCGGGATTGTACCTGGCCCTCGGAGCGCAAATTAGCTGGAAGCAAGACTTCCCTTCCGCAGACGACCGCCCTTGCGCGTGGCAGGGACTACCGCTCGAGATTCGGCCAGAGGGCGTCCTGCCCTTGTCCACCACGGTGGTCGATCACCGTTTTCCAACCGTATCTCGAACTGGGCCGTAGCACGCGCTTCGTAACATCAGATCCTTACGGCACTCCTGCTGCGCTAGCGTCTGCTACTCCAGGGAAGCCTCCCAGCTCCATGATTCGCAGCTCGTCCGAGGTTGGGACCACGCATCCATCCAACGGCGGCGGTAGGCGGCCGCTTCCAGCCTTCTGGGGCGTCTTGACGAGGGTTCTTGACCCGCATGACATCAGTGAGGTCCAATCAAGCTGTCCTGCACTCCGTGTGAAGGGGCATATCCCTTTTCGAGTGCTTGACGCAGGTGCCCACCCCATGACAATCCACGGGGCTGCAGACACAAGGACAGCTCCTGGGTAGCCTTGCCGTCGGCGTGAGCTGAACGCCTCATCAAGTGGTAAGAGAGTATGCATCCTCAAAGCACGCCATCTAATGCTCCCCGCGACTCAACCCAGATCATGTTATAGCAGTAATATACTGACGCCACATACGCGTCCCGGGGGCGGAACTTTGTTCTAGTTGCCACGATCCGCTGGTATGTTGGCGGCGCTGGTTGCTTGTGTAGGACGATTTCCTCCAGGTACGGATGCATAGTCCCAGAATCCAAGGTCCTGCTGCCAAGCCCTGTCACTTGTCATGCGCTCGCAGTGTACATCCATATCTCCAGTTTCAAAGTGCGCGCGCATATCCACGGAGTTCGCGCTGACGCTGGTTATCTGATATCGATGCACAAGTCGTGTTGTCTCGCATTCGCCTCACAGGCCTGTAGCACGATGCTTCAGACGCAGTCGGCGTACTGGGCTCGTCATCGATGTCTCCAGGCAGAACAGCGGTGAGCTTCTCATGTGCCTTACAGAAGTTGCTTGAAATCCCCGGATTCCCACTGGCGGTTGTCATATGTCCGGTGATGAACTGAGACGCTATGCCTCCTCAGGTAACCGTTTCCATAAGGCTGTCTTTTGTCCTCAATCTCCCTGATAGGTGAAGCGGCAACATCGCCCCGGCGGTCACGAACCTTACAGTCCGGGCACCAAGAGCCAAGCCACCGTCCGCTCCTTCGCAGATTTCACAGGCCTCTCAGTTGGACGTAGGCTCACTCAGCGAGCTCGGGGACATTGGGAAGCGGGGGTGCGTCGTGTACAGATCCCGATAGACAAGAGGGCGGATGGCCCAGTTTCGCAGGAAGAGCCTCGACCACGCTACGAGCGCCTCTTGTGGCCCGTACCTTCAAGGCAGTGGAGCGTTAATCGGAGGCACCCATGCGGATCCTCCTTTCCTGAGTAGTGTCTGCAAAGCAGTCTTACCGCTTGCAGTTTAGTGGAGTAGGTTTCATACCAGAGCACGAGACAGCCGGCACCTTGACGCACTGGGATTCTGGTCGGGTTGCTGACCAGGAAGTGTATCTCGCTCGCGGCCGAATCGGCTTCAAGTTATTGACAAGTCCGTAGGACCGTAGAGAAGCGGAACCAAAAGAAAGCCTTATATGGACCATCTTCGCCAGCTATTATTGATGCCGCAATCCGGGGCCAGCCCGGCGCCTTCCTCAAGGCCGCATGACGACTCTGCGAGCGGAAGTTTCCGACCTCCCGATATTCCCTCTCTTCGCCCGCCCTTGTGCATTCGTGTGAACGTGGTCGGCAAGGGCGTAGCCCTCGCTTCGCGCTGTCAGAGTACCTGGGAGTCATGAGACGCGCCCAACCACTCCCGGTTTGCCAAACGAGGTCGATTTCACAGTCCGCTTACCTTCCGCGAACGCTCGGGGGCCTCCGCCCACCACTCTGGTCCGGCGGGGTGTCAATCAAATCAGGGATTTCTCGGGTGCAAACTTACCTCCCTCCTGGGCGCTGGCCATATTCTCCGTGCGCTCCAGGGCCGCCGGAGCTACGGCCATCGCCCCAGCATCGCATTGGTTCCCGGCGGGCTCCTGGGTCCTCTTTCGCCACCTTCTCCATGCGCTGAAGCACCGTGGCCGAAGCCCCGCACTTCTCGAGATCCGCTGGGGTCCACCCGCTCACCCAGACGGCCCTCAGCACGTCAGGAGACCCCTGTCAGCTCAGACGCTGCTCCTCCGGAAACAGGAGCATAGCACCTCAGCCTAACCGAATGCGGGATCGACTGATCTAGGCGGAATATGAAAAGGCAAACCTGAATG